TGCAGTTGGAGCTGCCTCAAAATCTCAATGAATTTTAAAGGAGAAATCTCTTATGACAGTGGGGGAATAATAATACATCTTTTGAGGCCAGAGGAAACCATGTGGAATTTTGAAGTTATTTCTCCTTCTCCACCCTTCAACCATTTCCTAAAATGTTTTCTTGAACCAAACTAAATCCCACATTTGTAACCAAACTTACTGCCACTGTGAATGCCCATGATAGAGAAGAAATTGTCTAGTAAATGTCAAGTTTCTGGTTTGAAAAAGGCTAATGTAGGCAGAGCTTGAAGTTAGAGAGTGTCTCCTTGATTGTGTGTCTATAAATTTCCACTGGAAGCCTGATGGGCTGGGGGGGAGGTTGGCCCATTTATCTCATGTGTCATAAATGAACATGAGCTCCAAATAATGGGAATGGTCCAGTGCTGATGGGTTGGGATTTGGGAAGGCACTGATCACTTTGTGGCTCTTCAAGAGATTCCCTGTTGTGAATTTAGGCTAGCATCCAAGATGTGACAATTCAGCTAGAGACACTATTTATGTGACTAACTTGCATCCGGGGAAAGGGGTCACCCAGAGCTCATGAAAGGAGTCTGTTCTGTTCCCTTCAACTCTTTTACAAAAGAAAAAAAAAAAAAAGGAAAAAAGAGAGAGAGAAAACAAAAATGCAGCAGGGACACTAAAACAGCAGGCTTCTAGTCTCTTGTGACTTTTGAGGTGGTTCTTACTGCTTTGCTTCCTTTCAAAATGTTTCAAGCAGTCCTAGCAAGTGGTAGCTGGAAGGATCCAGTGAGAGATCCTGGGAGTGATTTACATTTGCATTTTCAGTTCAGGTACAAAAAAAAAAAAAAAAAAAAAGTGACTTTTTAAGAAGGCATATCTATCTGTTCTCAGTGTGTTGTGAGGAGGCAGGATCTGGGGTTCAAGCTGGCTTTCCTCTGGTTCTTGCACCACTAGGAATGTAGATTCAACTAACCATGTCTGCTGTTGGTTTTATCTGTCCAGCTGTTATGCTGGAGTCAGTGCCATTCCACGTATTTTATGTTCAGACTAACACTTAACTTCAGCAGGAGTATTTGCCTTGTACTAGTTGATGCTTGGGTGTGTTTCAGACACTTTCATTGCTGGGTATAGCAAGAAGAAATTGTCTTCTGTACCTACAAGGGAGTTTTGTTAACTTATTCCTAAATGTGAATTTTATTTTTGCTCTCCTGGTGGAGCTAAAACTAAAGAAGCAGAGACCAAGAGTAAATTTCTTTTGGATTTATGTGATCATTGCTTCAGGTCTCCATAAACCAGGACTGAATTCCTGCCCCTGATTTACCACCCCTTAATATCAGTATCTCTGTTGGATTTAACTCGCACTGCCCAAGCCTGTCTTCCCTCAGTGATGGATGCATGGGATGCAGCAACAGAATGTGTTACCTCCATCACCTCCCCAGCAGCATACAAGGTTTTGTAAGGAAAATTGGAAGGAAAATATTGCAGCCACTTGTCCCGTGCTGCAGACCAACACCACAGAAGGAGGTTTCCTTGCTTCCGTGCAGCTCTTCGGTCTGCCAGCCACTGCGGTGAGAAAAGTCCAGTTCATCCAGCGATCACAGTCGTCTGTGAGGTGGGAAGCACTGGTCTGTCTCATCGGAGGAATACAAGGGGAGTGCAGCAGTGAGCAGTGCCTTGTGCAGGGCCAAGGAATGTGATGATAGAAGGGTGGCTCGGAGCAGGAGGGCTGCGAGAAACGATAGCGAGGGCTAAGGGTCAGGCTTGAAGAGCAGGGAAACTTATCCCCCGTTTTTCTCCTGCTGGCCATACCACACTTCATCCATCTGGTTCCAGTTTGACCCCCTGATGTGTTTGGTGCAATTCTCACATTGCAGCCCCAGCTCTGCCAGTCCCAATGGCAACAGCAAGTGAGCTGACTGTCAGCATATGCTCAGGCATGTTAAAGTGAATGAAAGCAGGTACATCCCTTTTTTTTGGTGGTTGAAAGGAGCCGGGGGAGGGCAGCTTGGGGGAAAGGCACTTATTACAGGCTCTGAGACCTTGGGAACAGACAGCTTCACGTCTGTCGCACATACTGAAGCCATTTTCCCCAGGCAATGAGTTAGATAGCACCTGATGGACTGCGGCGTGCTCTGTTGGTTTTGTTTTATATTCAGCTTTTTAAACGTGTGGTGGCTGACTGCATGCGTGCATTTGGATAGGACACCTGGTTTCTCCGCTGGGGAACTCTTAGATGCAAACAGATGGAGAAGCTGTCAGGGGGAGTCTTGCTCCAGGGATAAAATTCAGCGATGGTTGAGGTACATGGAGCAAATGGCATTTAGGCATCTGCTGGCCTAATTGCTTCACTTCCCTGCCTTCCCTCCCCTTCCCCCCCTGACCTGCAGTCAGTCTGGGAGACATATGAAGTATATTGCTGTGAGGTTTTAAAATACTTGGCAACGAGGGAAGTGTTGGGTGAAAGATAAAGCCAGAGGTACCTTTTTTTGTGGTGTGAGCCAAAGATTATTGCAGGTTTGGAGTTCTTGGGCAAGGATTTTGCAAGAGAATCTGTTTTGTAACTTTTTTTATTGTTTTATTGTTTCCTCTGTAGACAACATGCTTAGCTGGCTCATTACAGCATTTACCAAGAATTTGTTCTAGGACAGGATTAATTAATTTGACTGTCAACATGTCAGTTTTCCACCACTGTTCTGTTTCGTGGTCTCCCTTGGGGAAAAAGAGATCAGCTCAGGGGCAAATGCTTATGGTGATGGGCATGCTGAAGTCTCCTTTTCCTCAGAAGATACATTTATTTTAGGGATGGAAAGATGTTTGTATGCATTTACAAAGGCTTTAACCTAGAACTTCTTGGAAGTGGTTGCAGTTTGGGACACTTGTATGTGCCAGCAGCAAATACCATGTTGATTACCTTTTGTTCTGACTTGAGAGAGGATCCCAGGAGGTGACTGGAGAAACTGTTGGTCCTTCAGCTTCTATCATGCTTTCAAGTGAGATGCTGGCAACACACTAAGGCACAGGAAAAAGCAACGGTCCCCTCTGAGCAAGGGAAGAGCATTGGGTCTGCTGGCAAAGCTTTGATGGTATTTACTAAGGAATCATGAGAAGAACAGGAGCTGTACATCTCTTTTCCGCTCTTCTTTCTGAATGAAGTTTGTCAGTAAGGAGAGAAGCCAACACTGGCAGTTTCTCTTCTCACATGGCTGAGATGCAGCCAAGTGCAGGAGAGGGGAAGTCTGTAAGTTTGCTTTCAACCCCCTGTGCTTCTGAAAAAAAGAAACTTGCAAATTCAAGTAATAGCAAGAGGAAAGGTCCTGTAGCTTTTAGTAGGGATAAATGGGCAGGAGCAGAGGTGAAGGACAGATAAAGCACAGTTGAAGTGGCATGAACAGACCAGCAAACCTGTGGTGAAGGCAAATCCTTGTTAGTGGTAAGTAGTCCTGCAGAAAGGTGGTGGCTGTGTCTGACCTGCATTCAGACTCCAGTGTTAGAAGTAAGAGCACCTGGTTCAGTTGTTAAAGCACTCATCCAGGACTGAGAAGGTAGGAAAGATTTCTGAAAAAAAAAAAAAAAGAAAAAAAAAAAAACACCTCGGCTTTGCTCCTGCCTCTTGTGTGACTGCAGTCATGTCAGCGGGGAGTCCTCCAAACCACTCCTTGTCGTGTTTCTGCTCCTGTGAGTAGTCCTGTAATAATCAACCTTGCCATCCTTCTCCAAATCTCCCCCTTAAAACAGGCCCATAGATGTAATAGCAGTGAAAATTAATACAATTGCTGATGATCACTGATACTTGGGGTTATGTCAGTGTGCTTTTTGCTAGTTGTCATTGTTTCTTTGCCATCTTTCCACCTCCATTTTCCTTGCATCTGCCCACGTCTTGGACTGTGAACTCCCTAGAACATGGACCAACTGATGTGTTTGTACATTTTGTACACCACCCTGACCTAAGCTTCCAGGTATCACCAACTGCAGATGGCAAATGGTGGTCTTATGGTGGTTAGAGCCCTGGGGGAGAAGGGGATGTGAGGAGGACATTAAATGTTTGCTGTGCTGCTGAGTTCCTAGGAGTTGTGGGACATCTGTCAGAAAAGCTTTATTTAACCTAAAGATCACGCAATCCCAGTCTTCACCCAAGTATCCCATGTCTTTTTCACTACACATGCTCTTTAACCCAGCTCTTCTGAAGAGTACTCTTGTCCCATATGATTTGCATTAGCTCTAATGAGAACTATCCATGCAAATCTCCCACTCAGCTAACGGTGACAGTTCCTGGTTGACAGGCTAATCTCATCCATGTGGAGAGCTTTTCAATTAGGTGGCTTTATAGCTCAGTAAAATTAAAACTCATTAACTTTTTAAAAAGAAAAAGAGTTTAACATCTTATTTGTGGACAGCAGGCCTTGTGCTTGCAAACGTTGACTGCTGTATGGTGTTTAATGGCCCAAGGGAGACCTGTTGGTAAAGACAGGTAGAGTAACGAAGGGATGAAGGTCCTGGAGATGACATTCAGAAATGCACAGCATTATTGCTGTCTTTTACAGGAGCAGAAAGTATCCAGGTATCTGTGTGTGGCAAATGTCTTCCTTTATAGGTGTTTCTGCATGGACTTCTTACATCTCCTGCTGTATGCGGTGGGGTAATGATCAGGTGTGGTCCTTAGAGATGCTGCACTCCATACTCAGGAGCAGCTGGTACACTCAGGACTGAAAGCAAGATTCAGGGTCAGACAGAAATGTTGGCAGGATATTCTCCAGGATGCTAAAAAGTGTATTTCATGTTTCACAGAAGCCAAGAATTCCTCTCTTCTGTGGATTTTCTGTTTTTAAACACTTTGGGACTTTGAGGTGTTAGAGAAGTAGTAAATGACCATGTAAGCAAGCAAGTAGAAACCATGCTGGGAACTGTTCTAGGATTAATGAGTTGATGTGTCCCAGGACTTTTATGTGTTCACCTCTATTATTTCAGTAACCCCCTACCTGTTTTCTTCTTTTTCCCCACAGATGTGAGGAGCAGGCTTGGAGCTTTAGACAAGAATTGAATGTTCTAAACCAAAAATCACTCTCTTGGCAACTGTTGTACAAGTATAGCCAATGCATGAAATATCTTCTCTGACTCCTCCTGCATCTGACTTTTCCTTTTTGATGTCTCTGAAGCCACGTCTGTTTGACAAGGCTAAGCTGCTTGATGCATATCTTACTCCCCTAGCCAACAGAAGTGCAGAAAATGGGTGCTTCAGTAGAGTCAGTAGGCAGTGTCAGATGAAAGACACACTTCTTCCTGCAATTCTAGCCAACAGTGCTTGCTGAAAGAAAAATATAGCTCAAGAGAAGTGTATGTGATATTTCTTCCTCCATCCAGCACTCAGCTGCAGTTCCCTGTGCACCTTAAGGCAGTGATCGTTTGCCAGAGCATACACGGATGGGAAAAAATATCACTGGAAATAGCTGAAGCTGTGATATTTATCTTAAGACAGAGAGGAGTTCTACTAGAGGCCTGATGCAGGCTTCTCAATCTCTCTCCATCCAGGCATGCAGGTGGGCTTCGCCTGGCCACATCCTCCAGCCACGCACTGCACACCCAGCAGGCACGCACGGAGCTCAGCCAGGAGAACCCATGCGATGGTGGTGTGTGGGATGCCAGATTCCTACCAGGTCAGAGACAGGTCAGGAGTGAGAAAATGCAGAAGAAATGCAGCCCAACTCATTCCACAGGCCCACTGTCACGCTGCTGTTGAGTCTGTGTGTGTGTGTGTGTGTTGCAATTACGGTGCAGAGCCCACCAAGTGTATCTGAAGAGCCGGCTTGGTCCCTGGTAAAGGAATGTTCCCAGACGTGCTGCAGAGACTTTGCCTCTCGTGTGATATGTACAGCATTTCTTTCCCTTTGTTCCAGAAAGGAGCATTTGGCTTATGGTTACTTGGACGCGTTGCAAAAAAATAAAGCATTGCATTATGAGAAAGGGAGCCACTCATTAAAAAATAAAAAAAATAAAAAATGCAAAAAGTCGTGTAAAATGTGAAATAAATATAGAAGAAAAGAAACCCTGTACAAGAGCCAACTGCATCAAAATCCCCATAAATTGTGAAGTTTTCAGCACTGTGATGAAGTCATGCAATCAGGAAGATTGTGGTGTCTTGAGGAATGACGCAGTCCAACTTGCAGCCCACACGTAGCTTGCCTGCCGTGCGTCCCAGCAGCAAAACAGGCGAGGTGGAATCCGGCAGCGATCAGATTCCCCCAGCCTGAGCCCCTCACCCTGCATCTTGGCTGCCCACAGCATGCTGTGCTTCCAGGTCTGGGGAAAAGGCTGGATGTGGTAAGGCAGGGAATGCAAGGCTAAGCAGGCAGGATTGTCCTGGTTGTTTTATTAATAAACAGAAAAAGCAATTCGAGTTTTTGTTTGTTTGTTTGTTTATTGTTCCTTGCTGCAATATTCACCATGCCTAATTTTGACTGTGGTTCTGATTATGACCTTGCAGCTCAGACCTTGTAGTGCTGAGAAAGACCCTACATGCTCTGGACCCCACTCCTCTTTCCACCACAGGTACCCCTTCCTTCCTTCATGCCTCTGTGCCTTGCCAGTCCCTTGGGATCCCTGAGAATCCCTCCATGCCACATTACATACTGTGCTACATTACTTACAGAAAAGATAATTTGGTTCCCACAGCTATAGAGGACTTCAGAGAAGACTGTGGATCTGCTGATCTGCATCAAGGCAAGATGTGAGATGCCGTCAGGGTCATAGGAAGCTAACAGAGATGGTGCCAAGCGATGGGACAGGTTTCCATGAGTCATGGAGCTAAGAATGCACAGCAAGAAGTACCATCCAGTTGATTCCCAGCCACCTCCTCACAATGATCTGAATTTCTCCATTTCAGTAAAACTCCAGATTTTTTCACAGAACCACTCGCAGCTCCTGGTCAGTGGGCCGTGCATCGTTTGCTTTGATTACGTTTGTGGTTTCTTTATGGTGGAGGCTCACTGCCTGCTCAGACAGCTGGCTTGATGGTCTTCATATTTTCCAAAACCACTTGACCTTAACTGCAGTTAATTTGTGGGGCAAGGCTGATGAACAGCAGGCCTCCCGACTGCTGTCCTCAATCAGCGAGGAGCAGGGACAGAGCCCTCCTCTCACCCTGAAAGGGAAGGCACTGCCCAGCAAAGCTGTGAGGCTTGTAGAAGCACGATGCCAGGAGAGCCCAACACATGGCTAATGGTAAAACCACCACACATTAAGAACAGAGTTTTTTTCCCAGAAATATCCAAACACTTTGACAGCTCAGCAGCAGCTCAACACTTTGGTTACAGTGAAATTTCACAGCATAAAAAGCTCCTTCCTGGCTCTTTTAGGAGTTGTTTTTGCATTTCTGAACCTCACATAACAAAAGGCATGGTAGTGCAGAAGAATTCAGCCTTTGTGTGGCTGCAGTGCTCAAATAGGAAGGAGCCTCTCTGAATCAGAAAATGAAGAGAAGGGAAGTATGAAGGAGTCCAAGGACATTCCTTGCACTTTTGGTATGTGAGGGCAAACAAAAGGCACACATTGCATCTTAATCTTTGGCTGTATCTGATAAAATAATTAATGCTAGAAGTGATCAAAATAATTCTCCTAATGAACAGTTTTATCCCATCTCCTGACTCCCCTATACATCAGCAGCAGAAACACTAATGTGCTAATTAGCCATATGCTAATGAATTAAATTGTCACTGCTGTCTTACTGCAAGATCTGTATTATTGATCGTATTGAAATCAGATTCACCTCAGTTTGTGTTTGCATCTGTGATCATTCTGAAGGGTGTTTCTGTGTGCCTAAAGAAACCCCTGGTTTTGGAGGACTGAAACATACCCTTAACTCTAAATGTGGATGGTGATACGGATGGTTCCCAAACAGTGTGAAGTGTATGCAGGGTTGAAAGAGGGTCAGCAGAACAGGTGTGCTGAACAAATTTCATCTCAGAGTAAAGCTGATAATGCTGTTTTGGTAATGATCATTCTGAATCCATCTACGTTTTAGACGCTACAGCTGGTCCCAGACCTTTTTCTCTGTCTTTTTAGCCACAGGGGAAGAATTGTAGACTTTGCTACCGGTGTTGCTCTTGAAATGCTATGACTTTGCTCACTCAGCCCTCATGTTTCGAATCACCGTTGCTTTGGTGGGGATGGGGCAGGGGAGGAAGTTGTTTTCTTTCCCCTGGATGCTATTAAGAAAAATCATGAACTGTCTGATTGTTATTTTTCTTTTTTGGAGGGGGTCTTAAAATGGTGAGAGTAACAAATGTGCTAAACCTCACACCACCAGAAATCCAAGGAAACAGAACATCTATTTATAAAACCAAAAATACAAATTGCCCCCAGCATTCACGCATCATTAGAAAGCTAAACCACAGTCCCAGAAATCAAGCCCTTCACTCCCAACATGTGCTCACAGCACAGGGAGGGACGAGCAGACACAAAGCCACTCTGTAAGGAGGTGCACGGAGGAGAAGCCAAGGCACTGCCAAGCCTCTGCAGCCAGAAAACCCCAGGAGGTGAGCCAGTCCCAAGGAGACCAGGAAAGCTAATTAAGTAGAAAAGAAGTTTGGGGAAAATCTCATGGTTTTTGCCACTTGTGAATGAAGGGCACGCTTCAGCTCTGATGCGGTCTGCCCGGAGCCCTTCAACTCCTTGCAAAGCTGATGGATGCTGTGTTGGACCAGCACCAGCCTGTTTCAGGGGTGGTGGGTTCCTTCTCTGCTCAGCCTCCCAGCTCTGCTTCCTGGTGCCTTGCTGAGTTTAAATGATACAAAACTGAGGACGCTATTCCCATGTGCTCACCCATTTCGTTCCTCTTGAAATCAACTTGTGCTCAGGCACAAACACAGGAGATTCATCTGGCTACAAATCGGACGGTTGATTCAGATCCATTAAGCTCTTAAAAATGCAGTCATTATGGCCACATCCATTTGTTAGTAATGGCAGATTATAAATGCTAATCAGGGAACAAATATAGCCTCAGCAAACATCCCTTTTTATACCCTGTTCTTGTGCCGAATTGAAGCTTTTTGATGTGATTTCAAAAGGATCTGCTACAAAAGGAAGAGCAGCACCTGCTGAACACTGCAGCCAGGGGTGGCAGCAAGACCAAAGGGGTGGCAGGAGGAAAAAAGAACGGCTTACAAGGCTGTGTCTGGTTCTGACAGCTTCGGTCGTAGCCCCGTGCAGCTCCGTGGGTTCAGTCCCAGCAGCGGGCTGTAAAGCTGTCGGAGTGGGGAAAGCTGTCAGGTGCGGAAGGATCACAGCGGCTTCCACTTCCTAGTTTATATAAAGATGAAAGGAGAAAACAGACACAAGCACACACACATGCATATCAAAAGAGCAGATGATTGCCTCCGATGGCCAGCACAGGCTGCTTCTTTCTTTGCAAAGCAAGCCAAGATACAATTAAGCTCTAATGACGATTAGACCCCTAGGAGTTATAAAGTAAGTAGGACTTATTCTCTGATAGAAACTGCAGCTAAAATGGCATTAGACTTGGAGAAAGAAAAAATAAATACTGAAAGCTTTTACATTGAAAATCTCTCTTTCCTTTCACTCCTTGTTTTGACTTCTGTATCTTCAGATATACAGGGGCTGTATTAATTTATTAGTGAAAAGATGGGCTTCTCTGCTCTTCAGTAATCCCCCCAGAATGGAATTGAAAGCTGACATTTCCATGAAAACCATTTTGGGAGGAGGAGGGGAGGGAAAAAGAAGACGATTTTCATCTCAGTTGTGACTGAGAATGTTTGACCCCCTCTTTTCAAATATTAATCCCGTGCTCTCTCTCCTGCTGGGGAGCAGTATAAATATATATATAAATATATAAATATAGCCTGTTCCTTTCCCCAGCTTTCTTCACTATGCCAGGACCACTCTGGCAAGTTCCCGGGATGAGAGATCCGGGGTTTTCTTGACTCGCAGACAGTGCATTTAGACCAAAGTGAGGTGCCTTGACAACGCCACCCACAAGGGATGCAGCTCATGTGCGTTTGCTGTCTTTGCAGGAAATATGAGCAGGTTCTTGGGACAGCCTGTTAATGTGCCGTCTGGGGTTGGTGTCTTTTGCTGTAGGTGATATTTTAAGGTAGGTGATATTTTAAGGTATGTAAGCTAATATGTTTGCAAAGGGAAAGGACAAAGGCTCCCTGAGCATGCTTCTCCATGTGGTTACCAGCCACTGCTCCAGTGACACCAGTGCCAACCAAGTGAGCAGCCCTGAATCGACAGTAGGGGAAATAAGGTTGACTGCTAGCTCACCGTGGGACAACCACAGTATTTACACCCTCAGCTCTCCTCCAGCAAAAGCCTCATCCAGGAAGGCATACAAGCTTCAGGTCTTAGTGACAATGTTGATGTAGGTGCCTGCAGGCAGCTCCTGACATCTCCATAGGCCTGATGGCAAAGCAGGGAGACCCTCACCTCTCTGGGGGAGCTGAACGCTGGCTGCTTGAAAAGCCCATGGCTGACAGGTGGAAGGTGATAGCAAGCTGGAAAACGCTCTTGTTTACTCACCCATCTCTTCCTTTTCAGCCTGTTTATGGTAGAGCTAATCCATGCTCGAGAAGTGAAGGCAGGACACTCAGAGCTGTCAGCGCACACAGTTCCCAAACCCATGAATCAATCATCGCGAATCCCAAACACAAGCATAAAATATCTCAGACAAGCTCAATTTTCCAGCTTTGAAACAAGGACCTTTTTTTTTTTTTTTCATTTTAACATTTTAAGTCTAAGATTTAGTGCTAAACTGACAGGCTTAACTTGTAAAGTAACTGGCAAATCTTGAAAGAATTGTGGTTTTCTCCTCCCCAAAGGACATTGCAAGTGACATGGTTTTTCACTTTAGTGATAGATGGTACTTGCAGGCAAGTATTTAGATATCTAAGTACTAAAGCAGCCACAGGTCTGGTTCCTATCAATAATACATTTTGTCACAGTGAAATTGAAACAGCATGGATACCACACATAGAAATGGAAGGGAGAATTATACATAAAATTAATTTTCCCCATAAAGGCACGTAGTTTCAGCTGTCTCAGTTCACAGGAGAGTTTGTGGATGTTCATTTCCTGGGGATTGCCCACCCCTAAGTTTTACCTTTGATTCTGAGCACCAGTGAACAGCGTCTTTCAAAGCAGCACAGGGGTGGAGCCACGCGATCACAATGAAATCTAAAAACAAAACAAAAAAAAAAATTGTACCCTTTGCAAGCCAAATTAGTGGAGCTGGTCTCATTGAAATATTTTTAAACCAAAGCCAGGGACTGAGCTGAGTAATGAGATGTGAAAGCAAGCAAGTGGCATGTGCTTGTGAGTGGCAGGGGAAATATTTCACCCATCTGATGGTACCGTGAAAATCTTCTTTGCCAAACTGCCGTAACATTAACACAAAGCAGTGACCCCCTAGCTGTCCTCTGGGCCATAGAAAAGCAGCAACGTCTCACTGCAGAGGGGATTATCAGGTTCTGGGATTTGTGTCAGCTCCCTTTTCAATTATTTTTAGATTCCATGAAGCTTTAATTATTTGGGCAGAAATGCACTGAATTGCTCCGTTCTCAAAGACCTGCCCAAAGCAGGTACTTCCCTGAATAATTGCATCTGAGAGATGCAAACAGTGCCTGCCCTGTGCACAAATACCCACGGGGGTACGTTGTAGTGTGCTGGAACCTGTCTGAAGACCCAGTGAACCAGGACTTCTGGAATGAGCATCCAATTGAGGGGAGACGTTTTGCCAGGGAAAATTCTGTTTTTCTTCTGGGAAACAAAGACAACTCATAGTAACGGGGATATGAACGAAATATTGCCCTCTGTGTCATGCCCCGTCAGACGGCTCTTGCAGCTCCTTGTAACTCTCATGTCCTTAAATCACCTCCAGGTTTCTGGCTCAAAATGCTTCACAGCCCATTTATACAGTGGGGATACCAGGTCTTCCTCTGGCATTAAATGCTTGTTCTTTTGTGAGATCATGGACCTGGCATGGTGTGTACCAGTCATGCTCTGAGGAGCTTGAAGCAGCCCCTCTTGCCTAGGCAGGATGCCATTCCTTTGTACTGTCAAGCATAGCACAGACATGGACAAGCTCCATTAGTTCATCTCTCCCAGCTGCCTTCCAAATCACTGTTGAGTTTGGTTATTTGTTTCCATGTTTTCTCCTGCTCAGTCCTGCCCCGCTTTGCTAGTAGCAGGAGATTTCTTAGAGCAGTACCTTAATCCTCGTTCTTCCCTTGATACAACTATTTTAACATTTTCCCCACTCTGGTTCCCCAAAAGGCTGTATCTCATTGGTGACACGGAAAAGTCCTTCACTAATATTCAAAGGCGCTTGGATACAGAGCTGGATGGAAAATAGTTTTCACCAACAGAAATGTAGCGTTGTGTTTTCACTGAAGTGTGTTTTCTTAATGAAAGGGAAACAACAAACCTCTTACATGCAGAAGCAATACTTCATTTGACAAAATGCTGGGCTTAAGAGTGTTAACGGGCTCTATTAATGACATGTGTGGCCAGTATTTGCTTATCTTCTCTTAATTAATAAGGGATGTTTCAGGATGCAGCACTCCTCCTAGCTGTATTTAGGGAAGTGCTGTGTTTAGAGAAGACTCCTTAAATACTTTGCTTTATAAATTTCATTTCCTAGTGCAGCCATCTCATTGCTGCTCTGTGCCTGAGACTTTTATGCCTTTAGTCTGGAAACAACTGTTGCTACGGGACATCCATAATGCAGGTGAGACGGTTTCCCTTCAGACAAAGGGATTACAGGGGAATAGGAGCCAGGGAGAGCAGGTCTGTGCTAATGCTGGTAATGGAAAAACAAAGGAAGGCCAGCAGCTGCAGGAGGCTGCAAAACCAGAGGACTTCTCAAAACCAGGACATTTTGAGAAGGGTAAATTTAAGTCCTTTTCCTTTCTATCTTTTCTACGTGCCCTTGGTCCCATCTTGGCTTTTTATATGGCTCCCCAATCTTGGAGCAGTGGCTGAAAGGCAGAGCGGTCTTGTGGCCAGCAGTAGGGTGGGAGGAAGCCTGGTGCTGTCTGACCAGAGCACAAAAATCTGCCCTTGCTGTGCATCCTAGGCTCAGCATGGGGCCAGGCACCTTTATTGGGTCCTGTAGTTGCCCACCTACAGACTTGTATTCACGAGGGAAAGGGAAGCCGCAGCAGAGATAGCAAGGAGAATCAGATGTAAGAATATGGAGTTCACTGGATGTACAGTTACCATAAATGCATCGGGTTTATATCCAGTTACCTGTGAATTTGGGCTGTTGAGGTGGAAACAGCAAGTCCCCTGCTGTGCTCCTGCAAACCTCGTTGCTCGTTGTCACTGAACTGTGAAGGTCAAAACCTGCTCTCAGCCTTCTCCTCTTCACTCTGTATTGATTTTTTTTCCTGTGAAGACATCAGCTTGTCTTCATCAGGTTGGATACACCAGCCATTGCAGGATGGCAGCTCGCCTGTGAAAGCCAGCCAAGGGAAAAACAGCCAATAATGCCTTTTTTGATAGGCTTTAGTTGGTATTTTTAGCATTTCCACTTAAACAAAAGCTCAAAAATCAGAGCAGGTAATTGCAAATTTCATCATCGAGTAAATCATTATAGCCATGCTATAAACCCATAGGGATTTGGGAGCAGAGTTACAATGAATTCCCTGCCAGAGCCGGAACAAGGAGCCCTGGGCTTGACTTTAGGAAGCAGTAAGCTGGGCGCTGCTCTAAAAAACCAGCAACTAGCATGGAACAAATTAAAAAGGGAAGCAGCAAACTCCTCTGGGATTCCATAATAATTTAAACATTCCTTTGGGACATCTGAAGTTTGGAGGAAAGGTGGGGAGGGGGAGCGGGGGTAAAAATGCTGCTAACTTATATGGAATGTTAGCAATAAAAGGGACCCATACGGGTGTGCCATACCCTGAATTAGTCAGAAAGCAGATGTGTGCGTCTGCAGCCTCGACTTTTTCCCCTTGTTTTTGGTTCTCTTCCTCCCTCTCCTTCCTCTCCCTCTCCAGCGCTGTTACAGCAGTTACACCTGCGTGATCGAAGGAGCAGGGAGAGAGCTGCAAAGCTCAAAGCTTTCGGTGTGTCAGGGCAGAGCACAGAACAATAGCACCATAAATCAATTGGGGAGGGGAGGGGGGGGGGGGGGAGAGCTAATCCAAAAATAAACCATGTGTGAGTTTTATTTAGCTCTGCCGTTGCTGAAGGGAGTTCACAACGGGGTTGAAACAGTGCAGTGTTTGGGGGTTTGCCCCTTTTCTTCCCTTTCCTGCATCGTGTGCTGTGGGATGAACCCCCGGGGTGTGCTGACACTGTCCCTTTCCTCTTGGTGTCACTCATCCCCATCTGAGGACACCAGGGGATCCTGGTGTCAACAGGAGTTGTCTGTTTGGGCCCAGACCAGCATTTAGCAGGCTACTTCCCAAGCAAATAGATTTGTTTCCACCCGAGGAGGCAGCTGCTGGAAGGCCCAGGCAAGCCAGTGAGAACCAGGAACCCGAATCCCTCTCATCTGGGAGCTTTTCCCATGTCCTTGGCTCACAACCTGGGCAGCAGCAAGGAGCATCCTTCACGTGCAAGCACACACGCACACGTGTGTGTGCCTTCTTGGGGGGAGAAGCTGAAGGGTCTTCTCAGCCTTTAACACCAAAGTGAAGAATGCTAGGTTTTGGTTTATTAACGGAAGAAAAAGGGAAGAAATAAAAGCCCCAACTGCCCAAAGCCCAAGTGTGACATAAGGAGCCTCGAGGCAACTTTCATCATGTTTTTAATGTGGTTTCCTTCATCTCCCTGGGCTCGCCTGTTTGCAAGAGCAGATTGTATTTAGATGATGCATTTACCAGATCACCAGGAGGATGCTCCCCCCTGTTGTATTCCCCACCCCACCCCATAACTGAACCTAACAACAATAACAAAGAGATCCAATTTGTTCTTCAAAACACGGGGCTCCACAGCACAGTATCATTTTGTCCTTGTGCTAATTCCAAAAAACCATTTGGCCTCATTACACGTCTCTGGATGGACTGGAGATGAGCACTGGTTTGATCCCTGAAAGACATCCCAAGCTCTCAGCAGCGTGAAATTTTAATTTCAGCTTCAGAAGATTGCATGTCAGGCCCAAAAGGAAAAAAATTGCCTCCTCATGCTGGAACAATGTTGATGCTTTCCAGGTCGGGCTTTCATTTGAAAAAGAAATGCAGCAGAGCAATCCTTCCTGGCATTACCTAGGGCCCCCACATTCCCCTGTCCAGTGTGTGTGCAGCACGCCTCCCGCATTCAGGCGCTCCCTGCAAAGCCTGGCTGTGGACTTGCATGGAGATTATTCTTCTTTTTCCCTTCATTAAGAAACACCATGGTTCATTTACAAGCCATTCACATTCAAATTGGGCTTTTTATGTTTTATACAGCAAGAGAGAAGGAAACCAGGAGCTGTAGTTGTAATCTCGCAAATGGACTGTTCTTCACACTGTGCTGTCTTAAATCTCTTATGTTCTTTATAAAGCTGTGGGCCAACAGATTTCAAAGCAGTGTCCATAGAGTAATAATGCCTCGGGCTTCTCCTGCAGAATGCTCAGAGCAAGTTATACAGGACTTTTGAATCATTACCTTGATTTTATGGGTGGGAAAAAGTTATAGAGATGGAGTGAGTGGAGGGTGCAAAGAAAAACTGTCTGAAAACAGAACTGAGGTCTCCCCGGCATTGATGCCAGGAAGCACTGTGAAGCAATTGCGTCTTGGAGTTAAATGGGGCTCCCAGGAGCTCAAGGTGGGATTCTCTGCCATTAAATCCCAGGTGTGGATAGCAGCAGTATTCTTATTCTACCACAAGAAAACAAATGAAAGGGAGATGCGTTGGTGGGGGATGCAGGAGAGCATGCATATGTCTGTGGTCCAAGCAGTTCATTTTCAGCTCATGCTGGTGAGGGATCCTACAGGTCATCTCCATGACCAGAGTCTGAAGGTTTTCAAGCACAAGATTTCGTTTACAAGGAACTCACCAGGATCACCAGGAGCTGAGCTGAAAGAAGGAGCTTTGTTCCTGCAGAAATTTAAGGGAACCTCTTGTCTGGCTATTTATTTATTTATTTATTATTTAATACACAAAGGCTACGTCAATGCAGAAATGGGTTGATTTGGCCAGACTGCAATATATGGGCAGAAATTTTTTTGCCAGAGTGTGAAATGTACTATGAATCAGCAGGTCCCGTAGTTTGGTAGTCAGAGCCTCGGAGGGGATGGGGTGAGGCATGTTCGGAAGGCCGGATAGGGATGCGTAAGAGCTCCCTCATTTGGATTAGACGTACAGATGTGTACTCTCTGTGGTTTTTAAGAGAGTTTTTCAAGTATGAGTAGGAAGGAATTGGAGATACTTTGGTCTTGTTTAGGCAGTTACACTCGGTATTGGACAGCTCTGGCTTTGGAAGGTCTCCAGAGCAGGTGTTTGTCCGGCTTTGAGCCCAGCTGTGCTTTGCAAAGTCAGTGGCTTGGCTGAAGCTTGTGGACTAATGACTTCACCTAATATAGCATTTCGTACATGATCTGTTCACATCAGCTCGGTGACTTCTTAGCCTTGCAACTAACAAACTTTGCCTTCATTTTATAAAGTGAGGAGCTCCAGATGAGCTGGTGAGTAGACGTACTTTCATTGCTGTGTATGTGGGCACAGGTAGGTCTGATGTCACCCGCTTCTCATCCTGACAACGGATGAGCAAGGGGCTGATCAAGAGTCCATCTGCCTCACCTCCCTCCTGTTCCACCACATTCCCCATGCCCCCTGTAATTGCTTGGTTAGGCAGGACTTCTCCCAGCCTTCATCTTGGCTCACCTTGTGCTGCTCTGCCCCACACCAGCTGGATCTCCTGAGGCATCACATCCAACCTGGGTGCTCCTGGAAAGCACAAGCTACTGACTGCTCTAGTTCCTTTGTGGTCAATGCAAACTGCAACAAGCAATTGGTGGAAAAATTGATGACAAGTACAGGATGTCCCAGAAGTTAGCTTCGATGAGATTTTAAAAGTGAAATAAAGGGAAGGTCCAAAGAGAGAAAAACAGATGTATGTCTGCCTGAGCCTGCATAAACGGTTACCAAGTCAGAAAAATGCACTGCCAGCTTGCAGTACAATTGAAGTTCTCCTGGGTTAGAAGGAAAGGTTTTCTTCCTAGTCCTCACAAACACCTATGAAAGGGTGCTAGAAACACCCAGGAAATCTCTGAAGTTCCAGCTATCATAGCAGTAGAGGCTGTGTAGTATTTCAAGGCAATCAAGTGACCTGCAAAATTAGGAGAACACAGCCCCAGTGATGAACACTCTGTCAGACAGGGCAAGCCAGCCTGCTGCTGAGACAAAAGTGTTGGAATTTCCAGGCCTGTTAGTCCCAGGCAAAGGTAATCACCTGCAATAAATAAAACAGCGTCATTGTTTTTTTAAATAGAAAGCAGATTATGATGTATTAGGCGTCAACTGTCACTGCAGTTGTGGCTCAAGTGTTGGAAATGCTATTATGGAAGTGCTCGTAAAAGTTTAACAGGGTTGGAAAACTCTGCCTGCTGTTGCTATCTGCCTTCGAAGTCCCCTCCTTTTGCATGCTGGAGCTGTTTTGCTATAAAACATAGGAAGAAATACTTTGATGACTGAAAAGGAAAGCGTGCTGTTAATAAACACAGAAATCTTGAATGCAACAGAGAAGGGTGTGCAGGGTCTCTGCCTTCTGCAGTTTCTCACAGGATCCCAAATAGCTGAACCAGCAGCTTCCCAAGCTGGATAAACCTCAACTCCAAGTGCAGACATGAGAAAGCAATGGCAGAGAAAATGTTGGCATGAAGCAGAGAAAATAGTAGAGCCAATGATTGTGCTCCAGTCACAGAAGAAAGTTTCAGCAGCCCAGCTCCACTCCGCTCTCACCCCAGCCATCACTCCAAGTGCCGCAAGCAAGCATGCAGTCCTGCTACATCCTCCTCTTCCTCCTCCTGTGCCAGCATGAAGTTGTTGCTCAGTCCATGCATCACACATATTACAAGTCCACTTCTCCATGTACCTTCTTGTTATGCAGAGCTCCTCTTTAATCATCACTGCAGATCTGTAGCTCCTTTGGTTGCTTCTATTCTGAGCCCTGGAGGACCCTGCTTCTACCCAAGCTCTGCCGGCAAAAACAGCAACTGTGTTTTCACAGGCAGATTCACGAGTCTGCTCATAGGAATGACATACTAAGAAACCTGTCCTTGTGCATGTTTCAGACTTAAATCACTGTTCTAGAGCAAAATTATGCTTGAAACTGCATATCAAAAAAACTAGTTTTCAGATATTTCTGTTTTGTTCTTTTTGTTTATTTGTTTCTTAGGTGCAGTCCTAGCATCTAGACTTTGAAAATGGCAATTGCCTGTAATGAAGTAAGTGCCTTCAAAACACGCAATTCAAATGTCTTATTAAGGCCCTCGTGTCTGAATTCTGGGCTCCCAGTTCAAACGTGGAATACTGTCTATAAAACTTTTTATATCATCTACAGTAATATTAGAATCATATTCCCTTGACCATCCTTAGTAAAACAGTTCTTGACACACTACTGGGATAAAAGAGAGGGAACACATGGTATCAGTAAAAACTAAGTTAACATACCATTCCAAGCAATAACATTACACTATATAGCGTAGGAACAAGCCAAAAAGTAATAATTATTGGGAGTAAGTGGAATCAAGAATTGCCCCCAGTGTTGCATTATGCTCCTTTCAGTGGAAGAACCTCAGGCACACAGTATATAATAACCAGTCCCATTGTCAATATAAAAAAGGTTGATACAACCTTATTTAAAATCTCTCTTTTCCCTTTTAAACAGAGTGCAGCAGTGATTTGTGCCAGAGCTGCTGAGTGCTTTCAAATGTGTCCACGAGGTCAGGACCAACAGGTACGTGGTGTTTCACATGGTGCTTCCCTGTGCTGGGAGTCCTCTTTTGCTGGCTGAGGTCCACACCCTGGGCTCTGCTGCCTCTTCCCTGTGCACCCTAGGGACTTGTCCTCCTCCTTTGCTGGCTTCCTCCACAAGACAAGGCAGGAGATTAGTATCAGCATGCCCCTCAAGAAAGGATGCTGCTCTTTGCTGAAGTTCAGGATGGTTTAAGCCAGCGGAGGCTATGCCCCAAAGACTTTGCCTGGGACCAGGAGCACTTGACCCTCTCTTCTGGCATGCAGCAGTGATATCTGGGTTACCCCTCTCCCATCACTATCTGCCTGGTTCCCCTCAGTTCCTCCCCAGCCCTTCAGCTCAGGGGACACCCATCTAGAAGGGCTCCCATCCTCAGCTGGCCACCTTGTAGACCTCTTGTCCCCACAGGGAGCATCCCAACAAGCCCCTCCGTGATCCCCAACGCCTGCACCCTGAGCTGGGGGTGGCAAGGGCTGCACTGCAGCGGCAGGGTGATTCAGTCCATCCCCACTCCTCCCCCCAGTGAGTCACCATTTCCCCTAAGCCTCCCAGTTGCGAAAGGGGATGATCCTGCTGTGCTGGCCCAGTCCCCAGTGCAGCCTCACTCCAGGAGACAAAATGGGTGCTCGTGCCTCACCCCTGCCCTCCAGAGACAAGGAGAGGGGCGGTGCCCCCCAAAAAATCCTCTTCCTACAAAGCCGTGCTGGATGATGGAAATTTCTCCTTCTCTTCTCACCTGCCTGCATCAGTCCTTGCTCTAATTTACCCCTTTTTACGCTCCGATGGTATTTTCCCCTCCTGAAAAGAAAAGGGGGTGAGTTCATCCTGGCCTGGAGAGAAGGGGGTGAGTGAGCAGGGCTGGGTGGTGGGTGGCGGGGGGAAGCCGAGACGCGTGCCAGGAATGCAGGGTTGGGTTTTGAAGGGTGCTGCTTCAACCACTTGGCAAACCCCTTCCTCCTCTATTTCCCCCGTCATCCCCCTCCTGATTTGAGCAATGAAAAACAACTTCCTGTCAATAAACATGAACAAAAGCTTGGACTCATCTTCAAAGTGATGAGTTATGTTGAAAATATGTTTCGGAGCACTTTGAATGTTCCTGTAAACTGGAGGAAAGCGATTGTTCTTGGCGCTTTGGCATTCAAGGAGAGTTTATAAATAACCACTGCAGGTCTGTGTGAGTCTTGCCACGAGAACAATGCAATGGGACACGGACGGAGGGGAGAAGAGGAGAGGACAGAGGCCTAAGAGGGAGAAGAAAGAAAAAGCAGGTCCAGAACCTGGGGAATGGTGTGATTTATAAAAGTTTACACCTAGCCAGTGAATGTGGCCTTACCCATTGTGTGCAGAGTGAGCTGGGCTCCCCAGCTGGGGCTGCCTTTGGGGAATTGTCTTCTCCTGGTGCCAGGTGGTGGGGCTGGTGGAGCTGTGCATGGGTGCTGATGCTGAACTGCATGTGGCCATTGCTGCATGGGACAGGGAAAAAGGAGGAAAGCATACGGTTCCCATTGGTTTGCAAAAGTGAAAACATGTGCTGGAATCCCAGCCAGACGTGCTTCTTGTTATTTTAATGAGAAATTCCATAATTAGTGGCAAAAAATAAAAAGAAGCTACACTGCAAGTGAAAGAAAACCCCTCTCTCTCCTCTCCAGCACATGATAGACGCATCAAAGAGATGTGGTGTTTTTACAAACATACATTACTTGACAGGCTATGATGTTCCTTAATCTGTTTGCTTGAGGGAATTAAAAAGAAACATAAAAAAGCAACCAAATAAAAATGACAGATTTTTTTACTTAAACAGTCCTTGTCTTAAATGGGCAATGCGCTCCCCACCTGTAATTCATTTGTCAGCAGTTAAACATCATTACAACATTAACAGCCAATCTGAATGCAGAAGAGCTGGGCTTTGTGCAGCCATAAACTACAGGACATCAAACTGTACTTTATGGAGTAGGGGCCAGTCAGAAGTGACCCCTTCTAAACTTTTACAATTCTCTGCATTCTTCTGATTATAGTAAAGATTTATTTGAACTTTGATATATATATGTATAAAAAAAAGAAGGTTTTATTAAAAACATTTCATCCCAGTTCTTTAGCAAAGGAGGAGAGAGAAGAAATACAGCAAGAAGCCTTAAGCTGGTAGATTTTATTTGTCTTGCAAAGCAGCCATGGATGGATTTGCTTGGATTCATGTTCAGAAATAAACACGTAGTATTGCATTACATCCCGTTTACACACTTTGTTCTCCAAACATTTTTGACATCTAATTGCGCAACTCCTTGCCTAGCTGGTATAACACAGAAAGTCCTCATAAGGGGTTTGCTGGAAGCCAGCTTTTTGGAGCCCAAAAGGTGCTTCAGCAGCTGGGTGCTGATGAATGCCCTCTCTCACCTACTCTCTGTTTGTTGTTTCCCTGGAGCATCCCTTGGCACTGTTTGGGAAAGCATTTAGGAATTCATCCCTTCTTTTCTCATAAAACCCTCTGAAAAATCTAATTTATCAACTCTCAGTGTGTCGGCTTGCCACAAGGAATAACATGCAGCCCCTGCAATAACTGTGCTAAGGGGCTAGCTAAGGGGCTAACAACTGCACTGCTTTCCAGGCAGTACCAGAGCAAGATATTAAGGCAGTGCTGCAAGCTAAGCTGTGAAGTTAGGGAAAAGGGAAATGCCTTAGTTCTTCCTCCTCTTTTTCAGGAGGCTGGTGTGTTGCTGTCGTGCCTGGTTCAGCACAGATGGCTGTGTTTCAGCATTTAGCCAGGGACAAATGTAACGGTGAAAATGTCTTGATGATGGGCAAGTCTTGATCTCTTCTGCCTCACCTGCTGGGCAGTGACTACTGCCTGAAGTTGGTGGTGTTTTCTACCAAAAATAAATGTGATTTTACATGCTCACACATGCATACTTGTACATTTATACACACTTTATTTTTGCAGAAATACAAGCAAAAGAGAAGGAAGTAGGTCAGTGTTCCTTGGAATTCTCTTTTAGGCATGTCATGGTCTCAGACTCATGATGACCAAAGACTCTTTGTTATCTGCAGGGGATTTGGGGAAATATCCTCTGAGCAGGGAGCTTGAATTAGGGACAGATACAAGAGGCATCTGAGCCACAATTCCTGGGAATCTCCCAGATCAGAGTAATGGACTTTTTGGAGGTTGTACACAGCAGAAGTGCTGATGAGAATGATGTTTCAAAGGAAACTTGCCACTTCCACAGATTTGCTGTTTTCCAGGGAGAAGAAATGTGATTGTGCTGGAAACCTTCAGTGTTCTTCCTTTTATATTATTTTCTGTTTTATTTTGAAGTGAGGGGGGAGACAAACCTGAAATGAAACACTTCATTTTGGTCAGTTTGACCAGATTGGGGAATGTTTCATTCTTCTGACTGGATTGGTTTCAAATCAATTCAGAATACACTTCAACTTCCCTCAGGGAAAGTGCAGCTCCAGATCTTTTTCTTTATTATGGTTGTGCTCTCAGGAGGACCTCAGTGCCCATGAGGCAAAGAGTGACTTTTGTGCTGGCTAACTCCATGGGAATAGTACCAATCTAGCAGCCTGCTTGCATGGTACAAAGTAGAGCATCCAAGAGCAGTAAGATATAAAATGGCTCAGTTAACATTTATTTTCTCTCAGTCAGTGACTAGATTTTGAGAGTACATGAAGGAGAATAATTTCAAAAGAAATTGTATTGAGATCCCTCTCCCGAGTCTCTCTCTGCTTCCATCCACCAACAGGGTAGGTGTTGTGCACGCTTGATATAAGACAAAGCATGCAGGGAAATGAGGTATAATAATGTAATGACTTGAAAGTAAGTACTCAATAGTCATTTCAATTCCTGTTTTGACCTCCAACATTTCAATCTACCTACATATCATGTCAGTTCTGATTTTTCTAAATATATTGGTTGTTTGTTTGCTTGTTTTTGTTTTCTGGAGAGTGGTCTTGGGTCCATATTTGGAATTTCAACTTTTTGTGCTGTTTCAGAGCACAGAGCAAGCACTGAAATGTCAGAAATTCCCCTGTGACAGAAGTTCAGAGTATTTTTCCCCTCTAGCTAAAGTCTGGGCATGACACTTCGGTTCAGATAAGGAAGACAAAGAAAAGCTGAAATGAGCCCATAGATACTGATGTTCTGGTGCTGAAGAGCTCAGTGATCACTACTTTGAATAGCAAATCTTTTTCCTCTTTGTTGGCCAGCTCCCTCCAAAGTTATTTGTCTTTTTTTTTTTTTTTTAATGGTTCTGTTTTCTTTAGTTAGGTTAGATTAAAACCACAAAAGGATAAAATGGGGCAGGTTGTCTTTCTTCTGCTTGCATTCCTTTAAGAAGAACTGGTGTATCTTGAACTGGAAATGTCTTGTCCTGAAAATGCTGAAACCAAACTTACATTTCAAAGCACTGTTTTGTTGTTTTGGGGTTTGGCTATTGTGTTGTTGTTTGTTTGTTTTTACAGTCTAAACTGCTGAAAGGATGATAACAAATGGTGCTGGTTAAATACTTTATGTTCTAGCAAAATGAAATTTAAAAAAAGACATTTTATCATGAGTGGGTGGTGTGGATTAGGAAACATGGCCATCTTTTTTCTAGGATCTCTGGTCACCTCTGCAACTTGTGCTAGGTATAGTACAGTATACAACAGAAAAAATGGTTTCTCTACCCAAGGACTTATGACATCCTTTCTGTATGCATTTTACCAAGTTTCTATATTGTCAGGACAGGTGTCACAGAGCTAACCAGAGACAATAAAGCTGCCCTGAATGCTTTACTCAATGAATTCATGAGAAGAAATGACAGTGCAGGCTCCTGATCTGCCTCCTGCCCCATCTCTGAGCATGCAGTGCACTGCTGCAGCAGGTAGGAAATCTTCTGTAGGTGTACATGGACTTTGCAGTAAACTCCCTGAAAGGCATAGTACACCTGGTTTCAGAATTTGCTCTGAACCTTGTTGCTGAACCTTGGCAAATATTTCTGCAAACACAGTCCAAGTGTAGAGTAATCTCTGTAAGGAAAGATTTATTGTTTTGGACCAAAACCAGGCAAAGCTCAACAGCATTTCATAGCTTTGGAGCCCCTGATCTGCCTGCACTCTGGGCTCAGTTTGCTGGAGGGTTTTGGTGCTGTAGACCTGCAAGGTCACGCAGGCTGTAAAGGACCTCCAGGAGTCATCTGCTCTAACCTCCCGGCCCAAAGTGCCAGGTATGATTTCACAAGGTTTCTTCTCATACTAGATTTTCCCTCCTTCCATCTGAGACCCTGATGTGTGACAGGCTTTCTTCTTTCCTCTCTTTTTTAATGTTCTTACCAGTTGTGCAACAAAGAAATTCTAAAATCCTGAGGTTTTTGAATGTTTACTGTAAGCTGGACTGAAGCCTTGATGACTATGATGCGTATAAAAGACCAAAGGAAACAAGGAATAACAAGCTTCGTTGCCATAACAAAAGATGATCCAATACCTTGAGATCTAAAAATGGTTTATCCCTATTAACCTCTCCACGGTATATGCTCAAGGACTGGTACTATTATGTTTTTAAGCTTCAACAGGAGAAAGGAAGAAAGAACTAATTCATGCTACAGAGAGCAGAGTTTTGGCGTGAAGAGAAGCTGAGGTTAGGCTTGGAAGGATGGTTTTACAGTTAAATGCCTGAGCTGAGATTTGGAAAGGCTCAGCTCTGCCCTTGGCTTTGCCCCATGCTCCTCGCATGGCATTGGACTGATCATTTCTGCTTCAGGACAAGACAGACATGGACATACTGGAAAAAGTCCAACAAAGAGTCGCCAAGGTGCTGAAGGGCCTGGAGCACCTCTCCTCTGAGAAGACGCTGAGAGAGCTGGGGCTGCTCAGCCTGGGGAGAAGAGGCTCAGGGGGGAGCTCACCCACATCCACAAACACCTGAGGGAAGGGCACAGAGGACAGAGATGGGGACGTGGGGCTGGGCACCCTACTCACGGTGTCCCTGCTGGAGCGGGGATGGGATGGGTGGGCCCGGGGGTCCTTCTCCTCCTCAACCAGTCTGGGATTCTCTGATTCCTTCTGGTCTCTTTCCCCCCCCAGTTTTCTGGTGCAATGTTTCACAGAATGTTGAGGGCATGTCTGTACATAAGGCAATTCCTAAAATACTAATTCCAAGGGTCTTCTTCTTATTGCAGAAGAATATTCCAAGAAACAAAAATCCAAGGAAACACTTTTTCAGACCTCTGACCCCGCAGCCTGTTTGGCCTCATGTGGTCTGCAACATTCACCAGCTCTTCCTAGTAGCTAGGAAATAGTTGGAGTTTTCCTCCACTTCTGAGAATGTTCAGCAAAACTGAGGGCAGACCCCAAGCTGTTGTGCTGTGTTCCTCCTCTGCAGCTGAAGTTTGGGTGGCTTCTTATTTTTTCTCTGACAAAACACACAGAT